TGTTTTGGCTTCGGAATTAGATCGGAAAGGATCTACAGTGATCTTCAGCCCGGGATTTTCTTGACATAAGGAAACCCCATATGACCCGACATATTTCCTAAAAATATATGGTTATTGTCGGTGAAATGATTATCCTATCGCTATTTCTATTAAGTATTTAATTATCGGATCATGTACTAAACCCAAATACAAAATGGTTTACCACTTAAATATCCTTGATACTTTTAACACAAGTAATTTGCTCGGATGCGTGATCATCCTGTTAATTGGATATTTTTTTTACAAGTTTAATATCTACCCCTTGCACTTGTCGCCATTATGTAAAATTCCTGGTCCCCCTGTAAACAATTTCTTTTATGGGAATGTGAGAATTTTCGAGGATAGCGATGTAAATTCTTATTTCTGTATTTACTGTTATTATTTTAATTTTTTTCTAATATATATCTATTCAAAATTTTTAGTTAGGAGATAAATTAGTTCGTTGGGATAAACAATATGGCTCTCTCTTTAGAGCTCATGCTTTTTTAAATCGTACATTCATTATTACTACCGATCCTAAAATAGTCCAAAACATCATGACTACTAATGTATATGATTATAGAAAAACTAGACAATTACCTCAGTTAACGGATACCATAGGTGAAGGATTATTACTTGCTGAAGGGGATGTTCATCATAGGCAAAGAAAAATGATGAATCCTGCATTTTCTTTTGCTCATACAAAGGTATTTATTTCGCTTTTATTAATAAGGATAGATGTCTCATAAACGTTAAAATTATATAAATTTAGCTATGAACTTTAAGCTCCACTCAACTTGTTCTTTTCAATTTTACAAAAATCGCATAGTTTATATAAAAAGATTTATTAATTTTAAGTAAAATTTATTAAACAATTTACTTAAGCGAAATATAGATTTATTAGGATATTGACTTTTTTACTAATTGAACTTATATAGCCCAGATTTTTATTTTAGAAATTTTCTACGTAGTTCAAGCTTTTTACTACGTACTTTTTTCGGAAAAATTAAACTAACCTTAATTGGTTTTTCTTAATAAGGTTAATAAAAAATTGAAAGAAAAATAGGCTATTTTAGTAAAAAAAAGTTCTTACATGACTAAAAGAAAGAGAAAAATTCTAACGTTTAGTCCATTATCCAACTTGTCGACACAAAATTTTACATATAACATGCGTGTAATTTTAAACTCAAAAAATCTTCACTTTTCATGAAATTATATACAAACTATGCGATTTTTATTCTACCATTTTCGACACCATATATTTAGCATTATTTGAAAATAATATTGGAGCTTAAATTTTATAGTTATTATAACACATATATATAAAACTATGTGAACAAACACACTGATTATTGTTATGAAATTTTAACAACTAATATTTATTTGAAATATAAAGGAAATTATCCCAATAATTGTTCGAATCTCTCATCAATTAAAAGAAATCATGATGGATCAAATTGGTGATAAAAAAGATAAAAGAATCACAATTAATCCATTTATATCTAAAGCGACTTTGGACATCATAGGCTTAGTTGGTACTGTAATAAACATTAATCCTAATAATATTTCTTATTTAAGATATCTTTCTAATCTTCTATTTTATTTTACGTATATAAAAATAGGTTTTGATTATGATTTAAGTTCACTTACATCTAAATCAGAATTAACAGCAGCGTATGATGAAATAACAAGTACTAATAAAACATATTTAGATATTTTGATAATCTTGTTATCTGGATACTTTCCTTTTGTCAGAAAGATTCCAATTAATAGTAATATTCGATTCATGAATGCTATTAAAACGATTGGAAAAATATCAGAAAATTTAGTTAAAGAAAGAAAAAATAAAATTGCAGAAGGTGAACTTAAAGGCAATGATTTATTAACATTAATAATAAAAATGAATGAGGATTTGCCTAAAGATGAAAAAATGACAGACGTTGAGATAAAATATCAGGTAATGTATTTTCAAGAATAATAATTAATCAATGCAGTAATATACATAGTATATGTACACTACACTGATAAAATAATTTATTTATTGATTTTTAGATTATGACATTTCTTGCTGCTGGACATCATACTACAAGTCAATCATTAGCTTGGTCATTATATTTACTCGCCAAACATCCCGAAATTCAAGATCATCTTCGTGAGGAATTGATTGAAGCATTTCCTGATCCCAATTGTCAACCCACTTTCGATGAAATTGAACATTTAAAATATTTGGATTGCGTTATCAAAGAAACTTTGAGATTCATCCCACCTGGTATAAATAATTACATAATGTTTATTACACATTTTTAAATTAATATTTAATATTCTAACATTAATCTGTGAATTAAAGTGTCTTTACTTTCTCGTTTAACTACCAAAGATGAAATGGTAAACGGACATTTTATTCCAAAGGTATATTTTTTCACAAAGAGTTTAAAATCAGTTTTATTTTATTTTATTCAGTCGCGTTTAAAAACAATTACTAACTAATCAATATTGAAACGAATTTGAAATATTAGGGATCTATGTTTGGAATCTCAATCTATGGTATTCATCGCAAAACTTCGACATGGGGTGAAGATGCAAACGAATTTAACCCATCTCGATGGCTTGATCCAGAAATAAAATCAAAAGTTACCAATTACACATATTTACCTTTTAATACAGGTCAAAGAAGTTGTATTGGAATAAAATTAGCTCTTTTAGAATTTAAAATTATTTTAGCTATTTTAATCAGGAATTTCATACTTAAAGAAGTTGAAGACCATAAGATTATGACAGTTTATGGCGTTGTTACTAGATCTGTACCTGATATTGATTTATTTATATCAAAAATAGGTGTTTAAGAATTTTATTATTCTTTAAACAATTTCATGTAATTTTAGTTTGTTCTTTTTTGTTTTACGTTCAATTAATGATCATATTTATTATACAATATTGTGAATGCAAAAAGTATTGAATAAATATTATCGCTATTAAAATATTTATATAACAAATATTGTTATTATATATAAAATATATAGTTTATATTAAACCTTATAGTTTTTAAAATTTGCACGCATGCATACATCATTGAGGCTAAATTCCAATCGGTATAACATAAGCTTAATATCGTCTTTGAAAAATCATATTATCGCTAGCAAATTAAAATCATTCATCAACAGACATGACCAAAACAATAGACGTATATTGCTTTAGCTAAACATTTACTTTATTTTACAAAAGTGATTTAATTTTTATTATCCTGCGGCTTTATTTATTCTCATACTTCAATAATTTCATGATAATTTCTAATTAAAGCCAAAAATTTTATAAAATAATACTAAATCTGTTTCTTTAGTGGAATGGTAATTAAAAGAAATATCATTTCTTTACGTATATAAAACTTGCATAGTATCTCAAAAATAATTAAAAAAGCTTTTACGTTCGATTCTTGATTTAAAAAAAAAAAAAAAACTATTTATATCTTGCGAGAGATATGAAAAAACAGTAATTTGCCGACTTTGATACTTGTTCCAAGACAAATTAACTAAGATCAATATATCATGAACTACATTGTAATATCTTTATAAAAAAAATCTGTAATCTTATATACTATCTTTTTGAGATTGTTTTCGAAGAATAAATTTATCTATTTTACAGACGCGACTGAGTCATCTTAAACATCTATGCCAATCTTAAAAAAAAAAGGAATTTAATTTTTACATTACATCAGAAAAATTGCATCATACCATATATTTTTATTTTAAACAAACTAATATTCTAATAATAAATTTCTATTTACAAGAAACATTCTATATTCGTTAATTCGTTAATACGTGTAATACTGATATATTAAAAATCACGAAACATAAAATACTGTATTTAGTAATTATAAAAACAATCGTATCATATTTGCAGTATATACGTATATGTTCTAATTTTAGAATACACTCAAAAAAAAAAAAAAAGTTACGTAATATCAAGTGATGGACTTGACATCGATCGATCGCTATGCGCGGACAATTATAATTTAACTTCACACTATCGCAGTAGGCTATACATCAAATTAAATATCATTGGCGATTACGAATTTTCACCAGAGTTATCGCGTAAACTTATTGTTCGACGAATGAATCAAGCTTTTCACCTCTTGGCAACATCGAAAAGAAAAGTAAAAAAAACAGAGTTAATACAATTCATTATTGAGATTAACTCTTCTTGCCAGAAGGTATAAATTTGAGATCTATCGCAACAAAAATTATTCATTCGTTTTGAAGAAAACAAATTCTTTGAAACTTTGCATAATCTTTTAATCCAAAAAAAAATATTTTAAAAAAAGCAAAATGGTGCGAATTCTTAAAAACTTATTTTTAATTTCCATTTTTACTTCGTTGGCCCTTAGTATTCCAACACAAGAACATGAAAAAAATCTAAATCTTAAGGCTCCGGCTGCGATACTTGATCCTCAAAAACAAGTAACCCCACCTATGGTTCCTGATCCTCAAAAACAAGTAACCCCGCCTATGGTTCCCGATCCTCAAAAACAAGTAACCCCGCCTATGGTTCCCGATCCTCAACAAACTCCAACCCAACCTATGGTTTCCGATTATCATATAACTCCAATTAAAAATCCTCAAAGTAATGACATAATTCCTTATATATATTTATTTGTTAATTTATTTGTAATATATTAAATATTATTTACTAACATCGAATCTAGATGAAGATATTGAACAAACTGATGCGAAAGAGGAAACTGATGAAAGTGATGTATCTGAAGGTCGCGAATTAATGTCCGATCCTCTCTTACGTTCCAACTTAGAAAGTCTCATATCATCATCTTCAGTTGAATCGTCCGAATCTCTTGATGCTAGTGAATTTATTGACCTTCAACCAGTTCGCAATACTCTTGATAATATAGTCTCTACTTCTGACCACCTCTTCAGTTTCCCTGAAGGTCCTAAAAAATATCGTGTTGTCGTTCTTCCTAAAGGCAAAGCCTTGCACTTTGTATATAAGGTTATAGTATTCCCCAGGAGAAAATATGCTCACCCTAAAATTTTCAAGTTAATTATTGTCCCTGGTAAAATTACGAGTCGTGGTAGAAAAGTCACATTCATTGTAATTCCTAAAGATGCTCCTGGAAGTTGGAAACAATACTCAATTTTTATTCCTCATAAAACAGAATAACTTATTAGTTAGATTTTATATAGTAAATTTATATGATGACAAGTCTTTATATGTAATAATAAATTAAAATAAATTTTTTTTTTAATTAACAATATAATAATAATAAAATGTTTTAAATTAATTCTAATTTATTTGTTTATAATCAAAATATTATATACGTAATTTTGGCAAAAATTTATTTAAAAATTTAAACATAACCCGACATAAATTTAAATTATAAACATTCTAGACAAAAGATAATTTGATAAACAAAACATGTAGTTGTAGCTAGCTAAGTTTGTCTAAATTTAAAAAATAAACAATGCTAATCTTTTGGAAAGGGTAAACCCAATCTGAAGTTATTATAAATTTTTACAAGATACTTGCTTGTTTTTTTTTAAAAAAAAAAACATTCAAAATATTGTCATGAGCTATTTTCTGCGCAAATTCCTTGTAAAAAATTTGCCAACGATAACTAGCATGGTTAATATTCCCTGTTTATTGGTTAAAAAATTTAATTGCGCAGCCATGTTTACAATACAAATAATTTGGTATTAAACTAAACTTTTTAAAAAAGAAAAGTCGCATAACACAACAAAAATTACTTTAAAAATGTTGCCTTTTTAAGATCCAAAAAGATCTTATAATGACTTTACATAAGCCGCTTTTTTTTTAATAGAGATCGTTACGTATCATTGAGAGGCTCCCAAAACAAAGATCTTATATAAAGATTTATATATTTTGAAATTGATACTAGAACAATGGATGTGGAAGCTGGTTATAGTTTGTTCTAATAATTTTGTGCTGTCACGAGCAAAAGGTGGGATCTACAAAATCTAGCACAGCAAACTCATGACGTGCTTCGAGAAAATATTGTAACTAGTTTAATCATGTTGTTAAAGGCTTAGCAGAATATTAATAGAATATTCTGGTAATAACAAAATAAAACAAGAATGTTCGTAGAATAGACTCCTTGAGTGTCAAAGCACGGAGTATTAAACCCTTAAGAGTAAAAGAGTAAAAGAATCCTAAGCCTTATAACTCTCGAAACTTATAAAAAAGCATTGTAAAATCCCTCTTGTGAAGACATCCTACGGGATTCCAATATTTTAATCATAAAATAATTTAATAAAGTCACCTAACAAATCTCCGATAAATCGTTCAAATAAATTACCTTTGCTAAATCACCAAAGTCACGTATTTAGCGAGTTGCCTTATCACATAAATTCTATGTTTTTCTTATACTTAGATTATCGATCGTACGATTCACCCCGTAACAGTGCCATTACATTTGTAAAACTTTGGATACGGGCACAGAGAACCGAGAATAATCAATAATAATGCTCTTAAGTATGATAAATTTGGTAAAATGATATTTACATTAGAACTCAACACCCATTATACTCAATTGTGTTATTCCACGTTAGTCCCATTGCCATTTTTTGATACTGGTGAAATAATTGCAAAACCAACTGTTCACGAAAAAGCAAAAGAAATAATATCTTTACCTAAATACTTTGATTTTCTTTAATACCATTAAAAATTTTGTCAGTAAATTCCAAATGAACAAGCTATCAAAGCTCTAAATGATTTAATACCAAAAGTTTGATTCGCATTATTGCAATTTATGAAATGAAAAGTCAAAACTCTTAAAATAATAAAACAAGCTATATTTATTGAAATCTTGATCTATTTGATTAGGCTGAGATACTTGCTTTTGAAGCTATGAAGTAATTTACACCAATTTTAATAGATAAAATAGACATATAAAAATACATATGAAACTTACAATTTGGATTTTCAGGCATTTGCTTGCTTTGAAAATCACAATTTTCTTATAATTCACATTTAGTAAACCCATTTTTCTTTTAAACCATTATAAGAAATAGTACGTAATCTTTTTTTTTTTTTCTCATCTCATAAGGAACGGCATTTTTTACATATATATGGCATAGTAAAATACTATACAATGAGCTTTTAAAGAAAATTTTCTATCATAGTCAAAGCTCGATATAACGAAGTTCACGAACTGCATTAATATCTTCGATATATGAAAATATTTGGACATCAGAAGATACATTTATTTGTTCAAACACATTTCGATGTAAAAAATTTCGCCACATCAAAATAATAGCTAAATAAATTTGTCGTCGAGCTCAATAGTTTTGTTATCATATGAAGAAAAACAACAAAAAATAAAAAATTAAACCTAAGCAGGCTAAAGAAAAATATAAAAGCGACGAGTAAACACTTCTGAACCAATGAAAAAAAACAAACTTTAAGGTAACAAAGGAAACATCACATGCTGCAAAAAAACAACGATTGAAACATAATTAAGATGACAAAACAAAGAATACAACGCAAAACAATGAAGAAACCATCAAAACGGCCAACCAAAATAACAGCCCAAATCAAAACGTGAAAGAGATGCATAAAAATGATCACTAAGTGAAGAAATACCATTAAATTTAAGAATAACACTCCTAAAGCGGAGAAAATGACAAAACACCAAAGCGATGATGTGCAAGACGACAAAGTACCGAAATGACAAAACACCGAAACGACGAAGAAACAACAAGGCACCAAAGCAACAAGATGTGAATAAAAAGTAGGCGGCAAAAAATTATGTTGATTATTATATATTGTAGACAGATTAATCATATATCCATATATCTCCTGGTCCACGTTAAGATTTGCCTTGTTATCATTACTATGCTTATTGAAGTATTTCTACAATTTGATTACTTGATTTAATTTTAAAATTAATATTATTAAATTGAATATTCAAATAAATCAACATAGTATTCTTGCAAAGTGAATCTTCCAATGCTCTTCCTACTCTTAATCTTAATTCATTACTTTGAAGGTTTAAATGTTTTAGCGAGTCGTTCTGGGAAAGCGCATCAGCTAAAGCTTTTCCTCCTACAAATTTAAGTTTATTACTGCTAATGTCCAAAGAGGTCAAAGTAGAGTTATTGCAAAGTGCATTTGCCATCAATTTTCCCCCTTCTCTTCCAATATCATTACTGCTAATATTTAAGGTGGTCAAAGTAGAGTTCTTGCAAAGTCCATTTGCTATAAATTTTCCCCCTTCTGTTCTAATATTATTATTGCTAATATTCAAAAAGGTCAGGGTAGAGTTCTTGCAAAGTGCGTTTCCGAACGCCTTTGCACCTTCTAGATCAATATAATTATTGCTAATATTCAAATAGGTCAATGCAGTGTTCCTTAAAAGTGAATTTGCTAACGACTTTCCAGCTTTTGGACCAATATTATTATCGCTAATATCCAAATAGGTCAGAGTAAAATTCTTGCGAAGTGCACACGCTAAGGCTTTTCCTCCTAGTTGTCCAATATCATTAAAAAATAAAATATTTTTACTACTTCTACTAAGATCCAAAGAAGTTAGAGCGATGTTATTGCAAAGTGCATTTGCCAATGCTTTCCCTGCTTCTGATTCAAGTTGATTACATTGAAGATTCAAATCTACTAACGAAGTGTTCATGGCAAGTGCATCAGCCAGTGCTTTTCCGCCTTCACTTCCAAGATAATTACAACTAATATCCAGAGAAATTAACGTTGTATTCTTACAAATTGCGTCAGCAAATGCTTGACCTACCCTTGATCTAAAAGCATTATATTGAAGTTTTAAGTTTTTTAGGGTATTGTTGTTACAAAGTGCGGTTGCTAATGCGATTCCACCTTCTGATCCAATATAATTAATAAACCTATATTCTGACCAACCTCTCTCGCCTCCACAAAGACTTAAAGAAGTCAATGTGGTGTTTTTACTAAGGAACGTTGCTAACATCTTTACATCTTCAGTACCAATTCTATCATAACAAATACCTAAAGAATTTATGACCGTGTTGTCGTGAAGAGCGTCCAATAATAGTTTCATTACTTTAAATTCAAATCTAATTGATTCAATATTCAAAGAAGTCACGGTAGAATTATTATAAAGAACCTTTACTAATCCACCCATTACCGCCTTAGATCTACACGTAAAATTTTCGCTGAAACTTGGATTATCGTTATACGTAAAACACAAATCTACAAAGGTAATGGTATTGTTCTCACGAAGATTTTCTAAAATTATTTGATTACAAATAATTTCATTAAGGCTTAAATAATTAAGTTTTTTGCTATTTCGTAAAAATGTCATAACCAAAGAAAACTGAACGGCATTTTCAAGTGTAGGTAACATATCATATCCTTCATGACGAAGCCAATTTCTAACACCTTCGTACAAATTATTGTTAACAGATGTAACATAATTTGCATATTCAAAAAGTGGCTTAGGGTGACTTGGAATAGTAACTTTTAAAGAGGTTAATAGAGCTTGCTCTTTGGTGTTTAACATTAGAAGAAATATTCTTATAAGTTTCTGATCTTCAAAATGGTGTCCTGGGTCGCTCCATAAAATTGGAATAACAACTCTACACCATAGACGGTTTACGAGAGCACATGAAAATAAACTTTCGTGATTATGTTGAAGATTATAAAATATAATAGAGTAGCATTCGTGGGGTAGTTTATTCATATTGAAAAATTCCTAAAGTTTTAGTGTATTTGTTTGTATTAGAATTATCGTAGTATTTCTTTCTGGTCAGATATCAGAAGAAGTTGTGAAGTGACCGTGGGAATGCGAAAAAACGAAATTACGAAAATTATGTAAACAATGTTGTAGATCATATTATATATAAAATCACCTGACTAACCCTGACTACGTATAGGGCAGGGACACGAAAAAAATTTATACAAAGAAATTCATTGTGATCTGCTAAAAAATCCGGTTTATACCGATATAAAATTTTTTATTTATTATTATATGTTATTATACTGTTATAGCGATAGCAAATGAAAGTTTAGTTCTCACTGTAGCAAATTTGTCATCAGGGGAATATGTCACTAAATATAATAAGTATTAATTCTTCAGGGCTAAAGTTGCTACTGTAATAATTTAAAATTTTACAAAGATTTCATTTTGTATCACACATTTACAGTAAAATACTAAACTA